TTGATTTATTTCAGTAATTCCATTCAAAAAGTGAAACTTGGATATTATATTCATTCATTACACACAGACTGATATATTTCAAATGTTTATTTCATTTAATTGTGACAATTAATGAAAATCCCAAATTCAGCATCTCCGAAAATTAGAATATTACTTACGACCAATACAAAAAGGATTTTTAGAAATGTTGCCAACTGAAAAGTATGAACATGAAAAGTATGAGCATGTACAGCACTCAATACTTAGTTGGGGCTCATTTGCCTGAATTACTGCAGCAATGCGGCGTGGCATGGAGTCGATCAGTCTGTGGCACTGCTCAGGTGTTATGAGAGCCCAGGTTGCTCTGATAGTGGCCTTCAGCTCTTCTGCATTGTTGGGTCTGGCGTATTGCATCTTCCTCTTCACAATACCCCATAGATTTTCTATAGGGTTAAGGTCAGGCGAGTTTGCTGGCCAATTAAGAACAGGGATACCATGGTCCTTAAACCAGGTACTGGTAGCTTTGGCACTGTGTGCAGGTGCCAAGTCCTGTTGGAAAATGAAATCTGCATCTCCATAAAGTTGGTCAGCAGCAGGAAGCATGAAGTGCTCTAAAACTTCCTGGTGGACGGCTGCGTTGACCTTGGACCTCAGAAAACACAGTGGACCAACAGCAGCAGATGACATGGCACCCCAAACCATCACTGACTGTGGAAACTTTACACTGGACTTCAAGCAACGTGGATTCTGTGCCTCTCCTCTCTTCCTCCAGACTCTGGGACCTTGATTTCCAAAGGAAATGCAAAATGTACTTTCATCAGAGAACATAACTTTGGACCACTCAGCAGCAGTCCAGTCCTTTTTGTCTTTAGGCCAGGCGAGACGCTTCTGACACTGTCTTGTTCAAGAGTGGCTTGACACAAGGAATGCGACAGCTGAAACCCATGTCTTGCATACGTCTGTGCGTGGTGGTTCTTGAAGCACTGACTCCAGCTGCAGTCCACTCTTTGTGAATCTCCCCCACATTTTTGAATGGGTTTTGTTTCACAATCCTCTCCAGGGTGCGGTTATCCCTATTGCTTGTACACTTTTTTTCTACCACAATGTGCTTGGAAACAGCGCTCTGTGAACAGCCAGCCTCTTTAGCAATGACCTTTTGTGTCTTGCCCTCCTTGTGCAAGGTGTCAATGGTCGTCTTTTGGACAGTTGTCAAGTCAGCAGTCTTCTCCATGATTGTGTAGCCTACAGAACTAGACTGAGAGACCATTTAAAGGCCTTTGCAGGTGTTTTGAGTTGATTAGCTGGTTAGAGTGTGGCACCAGGTGTCTTCAATATTGAACCTTTTCACAATATTCTAATTTTCTGAGATACTGATTTTGGGGTTTTCATTAGTTGTCAGTTATAATCATCCAAATTAAAAGGAATGAACACTTGAAATATCAGTGGAGTAAATATACATTATACAAGTTTCACTTTTTGAATGGAATAACTGAAACAAATCAACTTTTTGATGATATTCTAATTATATGACGAGCACCTGTAGGTTGATGCTTTTCTTTCAGTTACTTATTTAAATTAATTGATGTTATTCCAGCTCTCATGGCTGTGCTGTGTTGTTTATTGTTACTGTTTCTTGTTTTCATTTTTCTCTTAGTTGTCTTACTATGTCAGCTGTTTATTGCTGCTGTTCGGCTGGTTGTCTTTTACTATGTTTGTTTGTTTTTGTTGTTGTTTTTCTCCTCCCCAAGCCCCCCTCTCTGTTCTATTGCAGGTTTCGTTGCTTTCTGCAATTGGTGTTTCCCTCTGCTATTCCCTGTTGTCCCCACCTTCCATCCCCCTTCTCTTGCAGGTCTTGTCCTTTCTCTGTGCTGTCTGTGCGATATTTGTGCCCCCCCATCCCCGTGTCTGCCCCCCTGTCCGGCCCGGTGACAAATCAATACATTATTAAACAAATAATAAAACAGACAATGGAGTATTTTAATACTCTCTTGTTAAAGTAAAATCTGTCTGGCACAATATGGTATCCAGCTCATCATACTTTATACCAAGCTGCCGGGCAGGACAGGTTTAAAATAAAATTATTTGCTTTAAAATATCACTGAAACAATATCTCCTGATAAAACAGCTTTCCTTATCCAAGGACGCTTAGGTAGTATCTAGACTCTATACAGCGCACTGTACTGTCTAGATAATAGATTTCTGTTTGTTCAGTTGAGTGATTTTTACTGATGAGAGCTGGGTTATGTATTGTGTTGTATCGTGTTTGTGTATGGTTGTATTGTCTTTGTTGTGGTCATGTGTGATTTTCTGCAATTGTGTGCTATGATGTATAGAGTGTTGCGTGGACCCCAGGAAGAATAGCTACGAAGAACGGCTACAGCTAATGGGGATCCTAATAAATTAAATGAAAAAGTCAGTGTCAGTGGTTTAAACAAACTGGGTGATGTGTGATTTATCCATCATGTTAAATGATCTGTGGTTAAGACACGCCTTATTGCGTTTAATCTTCAGGAACTTTGCTAGCTTTGGATATATTCTGCTTCAGCTTGTTTTCTGCCGCCATCCTTTCCATACCAGTTTGAACCTGAAAGCAGCAACAACTAAGGGGAAATTCAATTTTCTGAGATTGATGGAAGAAGGGGAATGCTTCTCTTTTAGCACTCACAAACTGAGTGTGTAATACTTGGTAGCAGAGTCAAAATGATTGATCAATCAACAGCAAATTAATAAACAATAAGCCATTTTAAGCTGTTTTTAAGTAAGAATGCTAAATGTTCACTGGTTCCAGCATTTCCAATGTGATTATTTCATGCTTTTTTCTGTCTTATGTGATGATACAGTTAACATCTTTGGGTTTTGCAGTCTTATCGGGGCGGCTGTGGCTCAGGAGGTAGAGCAGGTTAATAAGAACGTGCATGTCGAAGTGTCCTTGGGCAAGATACTGAATTGCCCCTGGCGGCTGTTGCGCCAGTGTATGAATGTGTGTGAATGTTAGTTTCTGTTTGAGCACTTAGGCTCAGTGTATGAATGTCGGTGAATGGTGAATGTATTGTAAAAGCGCTTTGAGTGGTCAAAAAGACTAGAAAGGCGCTATATAAATATGGAGCATTTGCATTTTATTTAGACAAAACGAGCAAACTGAATGTCATCTTGAAATTATGATAGGCATTTTTCACTATTAACTCACATTTTATAGACTAAACAGTTTTTGAGAAAATAATTAGCAAACAATTTGGTAATTAAATAATCATTAGTTGCATCCCTAGTCAGAAGCAGTTAATAAGCCTCAAAATGAAGATATGCAATGGAAGCTGATAAGTAAGATGTACTGTAAGAAAATTAGAAAAGTCTCAGGAGTAATAAAACTGTGAAATTACTTAAGATGATGACTAGTACCACAGTAGCAGATCATTTCTCAATTTTAAAAAATCACCCAGTGAAACCTGACACAGTAAAACCCATTTAAATCATCATTCTATCAGTGCAAGGAGTCGACAATAAAAACATAGCTTCACCCCATCAAGAGTCCAGGCCTGCTATTCAAGCCACCACAACAGTTTGATAAAACATAAATGCTCCTTTGTTTTGACATGTAAAGCTTGTACACTTTGAATATTCTCAAACACCCCTCATTTTCTCACTCCTTCCTCCCCCTGAGTGCTACTGTCTGTCATCCTTCTGTCTGTTGCACAACCACAATACCTGTCAGAAAATCTAACATTGAATATCTGTGTGTGACAAAGGTGGCAATGTCTAGCTAATAAAGAATGGTCTCAGTGAACCAACAATATATAGATAGATAGATTACAGAGCTGAGTTGCTGCTTTTCCTTCAAGACAAGACAAAATCTTTCTGAGGAATGCCTGCATGTTCTGACAATGTCCTTGTTCCACCCACTTTGGGGGGAAATTTCACTTGCTTGGTTTGAAGTTCATGTGGAAAAAATACTTCATTTGGTGAAACAGCGCACTTATATTTTCTAAATGTTCTCACCAAAGAAAGTATTGTCATTCAGCTGCTTTTGAGAATAAGGTAGTTAGGTAATTGTGACTTTGTTTTAGAAATGGTTGAGGTTGAACTGGTTACCATTGTTTATTCATCATCCAAGTTAGGAAAGATGTAATCGCCTCTTGAGTAGCATGTAAACTAAGCTGTAGGAAGCCCTGAATAAATAAGGTCATACAGGTTTAATATAATACTAAAAAATAATGTTGCATTTCCGTTTAGGTTAGGTTAAGGATAGAGGACTTAGTTCCTTGTTGTGATAGCTGTGATATGATTTCATCACTGTTGAGCTCCCTTCAGAAAACTGAAGATTTAACATGCAACATTATTCTGTTTTATCTATATCTACTGTAAAAGTGATATTTTGACCTGTATGTAAACTATTCACTTAAAGCGATTGTCAAACAAAGGGGGAAAACAAATTTCTGCCTGGTATACCTTTATCTCCCCTACCTCTGTAGCACCAGGTTTCCGATTCAAAAGATTCAAAGACGGAGTGGTAACAAATCCTTGCATGTTGTCATTTTCACTGACTGAATAACACCATGTTACTTACTACAAACCACAACCACTCAAGCCTGTCTCGGTAAATAAACAAAGTTATTATTTATTAAGTTAATATTTATCCACTGAAGACTTTACGTTTTTTACTACAGTAGAAAAACAATGCTTTTGTTGATTGGTATATCGTCTACATCTAATTTGACATCGAAGTTCATATCATGTTCAGTTAATATGACTTAAAATATGACTATTCAGAGTAAAAAAACAAACAAACAGAATGTTTCTGTCCAAACAGTTCAGTGTAGCCCAACAAGGCTGGCTGGGGGAAAGTAAGCATATCTATTCTTCAGAGAAACTTTAGAAATATAAATCTTGCAGTTAAAAGGCTGTTCCAACTGTTCATTGATGGAGTTTCCCAATTAAAGATACACACCATATTCCTATAGGGAGTTTTAACAAGACTTGATAAACTGAGGTTATAGAACTACAATATAAGAGGAAAGCCAGCTCACCTCTCACTGTTGCTCCTTGCTGAGAAAAAACCGAAGTCCAACTGGATCCTAAGCTGCTGCAGGAGGAGGAGCTGCACAGACAGCAGCAGGGGGCAGCAGAGAGCAGATGTAAGGACTGCTTCCAGCTGCTCTTCTAACCTGCTCTACACAACAATCTGAAGTCAGCATGTCTCTCTGAAAACATACAGTACGTTGTCAATGACCTGTCACATTCAATTAATTTTTAAGATACTGTTCTATATTGTAATTTTACCTTTATTGTAGATTCTTGTGTCCTACTTTAATGTTTTACAGCTGTCTATCTCTAAATTCAAGCCTGCCTAGATGTTCATTTGTGATTCTCTTCTGGCAATAACTGCAAGTTATGAGCATTATTCATTAAGAATAGATAATGGGACATAAATTCTTAACAACAACAATCAATGGCCAGTGGGAATGTCTTTTTTTAAGCTTGCAATGAATGCAGAATCCAAGGCTGACTCAGCATATTATGTGGTGTTGCTTTGTTTTTATTACTTATTGTACACCTTGTGTATGCAGTTAACTTGTTTTTATACAGTCTATGTTCTAAACAATACACAGTATTCTGCGAGGGGTTGTTATATTCACTATTTTCAAATTAAAGTCCTCTCCAGCAGCAGCTGTAGCCTACTAATATTAGATCTAATTTTTTCTTTATTGACCACCAGAGTCTGCTGCTGGGACACAAATGGCAAGGAATATTGCCAAGCCCCACTGCATCTCATTGTAATTTACCAGTTACAAGTACACAAGGGTTTTGTTTAATTAGTATTAATAACAACAATAACAATAATGATAGCCTAATAAATAAGGATAATTCTATTACAATGTCAGGTAATCGAAGTCAGAATAAACTAGAATTCCCATATTTTCTACAGTACATTTAATGCAGCAATATTTTAACTCTCACCTTCGCACAGGTCTAAAGTTATGTCATTGGTTGATCCACCATGATGCGACAAGAAAACCCACTACACGATTAGTTGTCAAATCTTGTCAATCAAAACGGGAACCGCCAACCAGCGACCAGCCTCTGCGTTGCTAAGGTAAAGCTGCGACAAGTTCACCGCATTTAGCCCTGAAGTCAAGCGAGTTTGCCTCCAAAATAAAAGTATGGAGCGTGACACTTTACCTGTTATTTTATAATTAATCTCTAAGTCTCAGGTTTTTAATTAGACGAAAACATGCCAATCCGGGGAACTCGGGAGTGCTTCTTCTCCACAAACAGGAGAGAAAAAATGTTTTACACTTTGCAAATAAAAATATTGTTTCTATGTTGATGGTCATTTTGTTAAAAAATCTAATTTTTATTGCATTGACTGACAATTCAATCACTTTAAAAAGTGTACTCATGTTATCTTTTTATTATATATTACAAAACATTAGAAATATAAAAATATTCACTTGAGCTACCATTCTGTTTGAAATGTATCGTTAACGAAACTATTATTTTGAAAGCTATAAAGGGAAGTTCCGTTTGTCGTTGTGGCTAGCTTATTCCTGGCACTCAAAACTGTTGGTGATGCTGTCAGCTCATATGGGAAACGCTACTGTACAGTACTTGGTTATAGAATAAAGAGATTTGGCAGGTCGAGGACAGTGCTGATTTTTATCAGGAGAAATTCCCGGCGAATGCATAGTCACCATTTTACGGAATATGAAAATACATGGAGTCATTTGAGAGCCATGCGTTTTCTCTCACAGTTGACAGGCAGGTATTTTCCTACAGCCAGGCGTCGCACTGAGAAAGCAACATTTCATTTGGCACCGCCACTGGCTGGTGATTTCGCATGAATGCTAGCTAACTAATGTACAACACGCATGTTTATAGAAGCAACTGGAACAGTCAGCGTCAGAGGTTTTTTTTTTTAATTTTGCTCATTGACGTTACCTGCCTCACGGGAAGTAACTTACAGACACGTCTCTCCATAAGCCAGAACATCCAGAGAAAAACTCTGAAGTGACTGTTATGTGTTAGCTGACATTTCCTAAAGAAACGCAGGGACTTGACACCGCACGTTTCTTCTTTTTTTCTTTGAAGTGTGGCGCACCCTTTATCCTGCATTTTGGCTTGTAGGCAGGTAAAATAAACTTCAAGTGTGGACTGTGAGGCGGAGAAAATGATGTGGACCAGCTGTTCTGACCGAGGGCCGACCTAGGAATGTCACAACTCCCCAGCTGTGTGGACGGAGCACAGTGCTGGCTGCCCTAACACCTGACAGCTCCTGCTCACCGTGAGACATTGAGCCAGCGTTTCTACACACCATTCATCCGCTGTGACGACTTAAGGGCTTGGTGTCCACCCGTCTGTCTCCAGTAGTGTATTATGACCCGTCTGTCTGTGAGAGGCTGTCTGTCAGCACTGAATCAGACATGACAGGGCATGTCTTTCTGGTCAGTATTTCTTGGTCTGCCAGCTCTTCAGCTAAAGGATTTGTTTTTGAAGTGGACCCAGACAGAAGTAATACACAACCTCTGGTGCAGAAACCAGGGGCTCCCAAGTGTTCTCATCTTGAGTTACTGTACACAGTAGATAAAAGTTGATGAGGCATTACTACAGGAGACCTTATCTGAGCTTCTTGTGGATTACTGTTGATACTGTCATCTGGGACAGAGACACCTGTGACCAGGATCAGTGATGAAATATTTTTAAATCTAGTCAGTGGAATTAGTTGTTTCCTCATTTTGTTGGACCCCCCCCCCAGGATAACCCTCAGGGCCTGGTGGTTCCTGGACTCCACTTTGAGAGCCACTGGTTTAAGTTCTCTTGTCAGAGCTCTTGGAGTAGAGTGAAGTTTATCAAAACCCTTCCTGTTTTCTGTAGTCCGTCTGAGAAAGAACTTTTTAACCATGCACAGAAGACTGAACGGGAAGCCCTAGCAAGAGTCAAGTTTAAACTGAGTCAGCCATGCCTGTCAGAAAAAAAGGTGAGTAGTTTTTGCTCCTCCAGTATCAGACCCTGTAAATACTAAATGTGAATGATGTAGATGCTGTCACATCACCAACATTGCATTTGTCAGCACTTCATAGTCGAAATTCAAGCTTGTCCAACCTTTTGGTTTCCATTAGGCTCAGAATCTACATAATAGACATAGTCTATGGCCTCTCTTTAGTCTATTTTTCCTATTTCAACATGCCCCGTGTGTGAAGTCAGCTCCATAAAGAAACGGTTACCTAGTGTGTTGTGGAAGAACTTGACTGGCCTGCACAGAACCCAGAACTCATTCAACATCTTTAGAATAAGCTGGAACACCAATTGCAAGCCAGACATTATAACCCAACATTAGCGTTAGACCTCACTAATGCTCTTGTATCTGAATGTAAGCAAATCCCTGCAGCCAGGTTCCAAAATCTGGTGGTAAGACTAAAACCAGAAGAATGGAGGCTGGGTAATTAGCACATTAAAGGGTACCTTATGCTTTTTTTTAACATGGACCCTATTTTCCTATGTTTTCATGACTAATGGGGACAAAACTTTTTGAAATTGGTCCAGTATTGTGCGAGTGCACTGCAGTTGGCAGCTGTGATACAGGACTGCAACATAATGCTGGTGGGCAAATGTGCCTTGTCAAAGTACGTGTGACCCTTTTTGTTTAACCAGAAATGGTCGCTATATTGCTCTCATCAAAGCTTTCACACTTCCAGAACGAAGGAGTTGGTGGGCTACCGCTGCCTCGACAAACAAACTGACCGAGGCAGCGGTAGCCCACCAACTCTTGTATTCTGCGAGGTAAGATTGGATTAATCTTATGTCATATTCAAATGTAAACTTTTGATTTTGAAACTGCTTTAGCAACAATGTTTAAATGAAACATGAACTGAACTGAAAATTACTGTTTTTAATCAATAGAGTCTGGTGGCTTATAGTGACTGTTTCTGGAGCACACTTTACTGCAGCACACTTGCTCAATACTGGACCAATATCAAAATTGTTGTAAAATGAGGTCCAGGTTGAAAGATGCAGAAGTTACCTTTTAATGTCCATGGTTTTGGAATGACATAACCAACTATAACTGGAATATATATCTATATATCTATATATAGATATATATATCTCGCTGGAATGCTGGGGTGTCCACATAGTTGTGGCCATATTTCTGCAGTGTGCTGATAGTACAGCTGTAGAGGAGGGTAAAGTCACCTAATCTTTAGTCATCTCTGTATTTAAAGACTTGAATCTATAGTGTTAGGGCTATTTTATCTGTGTGTATATCTATTGCATTACGTATACACACAGACACATATGTAGGTACATTACATTATTATTATTATATTATATTACCAATATTATTTTTATTTTTTATTACTATATTAAGATAACAAACCAAGGACACAACAACAACCTGACTCATTTGCCCCCTCTGCAGACACAGCTCGAGCCTTGGGGCTTTTGGAGGAGTACTGCACTAAACTGAAGAAGCCAGAGGAGCAGCAGCTCAAAACTGCCATTCAGAGAGTAATGGGGATTTTCAAAAGCAACCTCTTTAAAGCTCTTCTTGGTAAGTCAGCACAAACAATCCATCAAGCAAATGGTATTTTTTGTTACGTTCATATTGCAGTGGTTTTCCGGAAAACAAATTTCAAAACAGTGTCAAATTTTGAAGTACTAGAGGTATACACGTGTGTGGCTGGCTCTGTTCTGGTTCACCAAACAGCGATGAGGCGGTGTTTGAAAGTAATTCTTTACTGATCAGTTCATTTTAAATGTTAACATGTGATAAGCTAGCAGATAGCTGTACACAATCACGACGGCTAAACAATGAAAACACACAACTTTAATGGCAGATGCAGAGGATCACGCTACGACTGCATCCGCAGTTTGATAAGTGCAGTCTTTACACCACACTAGTTTCTAGGTACATGTGCACATAACCTGCTTCAGGCACGCTGGAAGGCATTCAGAGTTGGGGGTGCTGAAAAAACTCACTGTATGACGTCATACTAAATACAGCACAACAATAATAGTTTTTGTATTCATTTGAATGTCTTATATAATAATTGTTAACAATAATGTAGACATTTTCCACAACAGGAAAACACAAAGAAACCTTTAACATTGCATATAGGCCTCTTGTAAAACAGCATCAGCACAGGAGGAAGAGAGACAAAGAACTTTACAAGTGTGTCTCCTTTATGAAGTGTGTTCTAGACTGCATCCTCATTGGGCTACATTGTATGAGCTATATAATATCACACAGCCCTGTTTTGCTCTTCATAGGCCTACTGAACTAGTGTATAAACCAGGTTGGAACTGTTAACAGGAGTAAGTTGGCCCCCATATCAGTGTTCTCTCTCTTTTTAAGGTGCCAGTTAAACCAGGGCAAATAAGTTTAAAACTCAGCCTCCCAGTATCTACTGAATAATAAAAAGCTAGTAGTCAAATCACTACATCTTAACAAAATATGACCTGCTGTGGACAGATTATTGCACAGCAGTGGTAATGAAAACTAGAACTCACAGTAATTTGTTAGTAAGTTACTTTATGTTGACAGTAGCACTCCAAGCACTGAACTGGGCTCTCTCTTGTCAGGGGTCTGATCAGTGAATTCTCTGAGACCTAAAAAAGTCTCACACAAACTTTGCTTTAGTGACCAGGACTGTGTTATTTTGAAATGTACCTATTTCCAACGAGAAAACAGGCAAAATTGTGTCTTTTCATTCACATAAACAACAAAACAACAACCTATAAATCCAAAGTAACATATTTTATTATTTATAGACCGTCTTTGAGCTTTGCCTCAGACAACTTAGGTGGAAAGTCTTGAAGGTACTTGAATGCTGCTGACTCCTTATTTAGAGCTCTGACAAATTGTTTCATAAGGCTCAATTTGATGTGCAGTGGTGGCATCAGCACCTTCCAATGGTTCACCAGTCTCAAAGCGGAGCTGCTCCATAAAGGTAACAAGTACGGTCCGTCTCTTTCCCTGGTACTGGACGCCTTGAAATATGATGAGTACAGCTTAGAGATCATAGGAGAGTTCAAAATGGTGGCATTCCTGATAGGTCTCCAAACCAAGTTTCCCCTGCTATCTTTCCCTTTGGGATACCAAGGTGCACTACCATAGGCTGGACTGGCCACAGCGGACCGAGTTCTCTGTCAGGAGGAACAACGTCAAGTGGGAGCCACTGGTGGATCCCTGAGAGGTGCCACCACTGCACATCAAATCAGACCTTATGAAACAATTTGTCAGAGCTCTATAATAGATATATGTTATACTGTATATTAGGGATGGGGATCGAGACCTGGTTCCAAAAGGACCCGGTTCCAAAATTTCTCAAAACCCAAAAATCAATAAACTTATTGATACTGCTGTTGAGACTTGCGGGTCCTATGATGTAACGTTAAGTCTTGAGTGTCAAATCTGATTTAATTTGAAACGCAATGGATAAGAAAATCATCAGGCTGCAGTCTCTGCCTGCTCTCTGTCGCCTCCCCCCCCCACACACACAGTGAGGGTTAATTTAGCTCCAAACTACTGTAACGTTAGGTGATAACAGCTACGCTCTTTACTGTAAGTACGCGCAATAAAACCTTCGCAAGTAAAAAGACAATACTTTCTCAATACAGCTGTCTGTAAGGAAACGTTAAACATGTAGAAATTGTTCATTTATTCATCTCTGTCCTCAGTATCTCATCCTGTATGTTTTATACAAGCACAGCTAACGCTAGCTTGGCATTAGCCAAATGTTAGAAACAAGCTAAATAGAATATATGTTTATTTATCGCAAGTGATATGTCATCTCAATGTACAACGTTATCGCACATGGAATATTTCCCTCATAACGTGCAGGCCTAACTCATGCCTGCATGTTGGGTCCGGTCTTACCAAATAACCATCACTAAATAATAGTAAAGTATTGATAGTAGTATCGATAAAGAATCGGATCGTTAAGCAGTCTCAATAAGGGCATCAATAAAAATTAACGATCCCCATCCCTACTGTATATAAATATAAAGAGTAGGCAGCCTTCAAGTAACTTAAAGGGGCATTATGGAGTTTCCAGCGGCCACTAGCGGTGCGGTTCTAAGATTGCAACCAGGCGTGTGCTCGTACGCGTGCTCGCTTGAACTCCACTTTCATACAGAAATACCACTGTAAACGCAGCAACACCAGCATGCAGGCTGTGGCTTTCCACACAGACATGCTCCGTAACGCATATCGGCCCAATCCTCCTGGAAAAAAGGCAGAGTGACAGCGACTATAGACAGGCAGGGAGACTGCTTCACACAACATGCTGGAAACTCGGGTAAACTCCCACTGCAACGTTACAGTAATAGTTTTATCGGCTGCAGGTTGAACTAATCCATGCTCGTTACATGATAACGTTGCATTTACTGCATTTAGCCAGCATTAGCTCGCCTGCTGCTTTCAGGAACTATCTTTACTATCTGTGAATCTGTCTCCGGAGGCTCAGCAATGTCAGCAACGCTACATGTATTGGATGATAACGAAACGGTTAGTGAGCTGGACTGAATATTATAACAAGATTGTGTCACACTTTATAACAGTTAGACCGCAGCAAGTAAATTTACTGTAATGTCAGTGGATGGCTCTTCCTCTGGGTTGTATATAAACTCTGGGTTGTATGTATAGGTGGAGAAGCTGTGTACCTGAGTATTGGTAAAAGGCAATAAATCTAAATTAAACGTTACGAAGCAAACAGTGGCAGGTCCGAGCTAATGTAGCGTTAGCTGGCTGCTCGTGGCTGCATCACTATGGGATAGTAAACAAATCGTTCCTGTAGCAGGTCTAACGCTACGTATAATTTTTAATAAAATTATGAAAATTAATATTTTAGGGAATATTAATTCATACCTCGAAACCAGGGCACCACCTAAAGATTTGCTTGTCTGCCCAAGGCTTTAGGTCCTTGAATATAGTGTAGTGAACAACGGTGTGGATTTGTGCATTTTACATTGAATAAATTTGGAGCTACTCTAAATTCCTTTCTCCTCCCCAGAGAAGATGGGGAGGGGTCAAAGTTGCTTTCTCTAAGTGCTATCCCGGCCATAAAACTGGCACCTTTTTGATTCCGAAGCTGATAACGCGGGGCCTGACTGTTAAACTGACAAAGGGACACGAACCAGCCATTGGCATCTCTCTGAACAGCCTATCAAAACTGGCCCTCCACACACGTTTCCGTGGCAACTGACCTTATTCTTTGTTTTATTACCACATCAAAAAGGAAAACCCCTGTCTCACCCAAGTGTGACATGGCCCAGACACTGAACTTTCAATGTAAAAAGGACTGCAGTCTCCAAAGACTCAAAGCATTTAATTCAATTTAATTAAATCTTTAGTTACCTGATTACGTTTGCCTCTATTTGAGTAGTTATGTTAACTGTTGTTGCTATCTGTTGTTGATATTAGTGCTGAAAAGAACTTACTTGTGCTTATTTTCAGCAAGACACTCCTTCATCTAATGTAATCAATGGTTGGTCATAATACTTTCCCACAAAATCCCTTTAGAAATGATGACAAAGAAATGTTTACTATACTCTTAATCGCCAGCTTGAATTTAAGGATGAATCAACAATATTCCCAGTTCCTAAGGAGAGACGATCTTTGATTTAATCCAAGCTTTCCTCATGTAACCTGAGCTCCCCCAAGTGGACGAAATAAGTATTACATGCCCTCGTTGGAAATGCTGTTAAATGTATAAATATCCTGACCAATAATGTGACAATTGTTTCCTGTTACCAAATGCTTAACATAGAACAGTACAACCGTTCAACCATTGAGGTTCGATTGTGGAAAATATTTGATTATAATACGTGCAAATAGATTTCTTTTAGACATTAAGTTTAGAAAGGCAGTCCCTTGGGAAACCTGAGACGCCCCCTGGCGAACCACGCCAAACACGCAACCTCTCTTCGCTTTTCTCTTCGCTGTTGGCTCTCTTCCACTCTTGCCTATTTCTAGTTCCCTTTACATATGAGACTGACTGACTGATTTAAGATAATTGAGCGATTATTAACTAACTGATCACTAGTAATAATTGTATAATTATTCAAAACTACCTAGAGGTCCGGAGACTCTAGGATTATAACAACTCCGGTGGTGCCCTTAACGAGGAAATTTTGATTTTATGAATATTAATTCATAATTGGGTATCAATTCTCATAAATTTATTAAAATGCATAACTAAAATTTTTAGGTCTGCTACAATAGCTTGATAATTACACGAATTTCTGGTAATTCATTAGTTATTAATGGTTCAGTTATTCTGAAATCGTAAACTTTAGTCACTCTCAAATCTGAGGGTAAATTCTCTGAACAGGGACCCCAGATTCTTAACAATGCACACACACAAATCACTGTGATCAAGTTGAAATTTATTGACTAACTAAAGGGAGTACAACAGAGGGAGTAAATGTGGGAATATTACAGGGACAACAGTCAACATGAAACAAACCAGAAGGTAATGAACAGAATGTTAGGCTCGATGGAATTTCAGTTTATATTGTAGAGGGAGAGGATTCTACGAGGATGGGGGA